TGCCACACCCAGTGCAATGCTCAATCTAGTGTTATAGTCAAGTGGTCTTTCATTATTCTTTTCAAGGAATTCTTTYAATGAACCATTTTCAGCGTATTCCACAATGACGTACAAAATGCCTAAATGGATAAAATATAAKCCACCTATCAATAGGCTAATCTTTGCTGGCGTCTATGATTATTATTTTTTCATTATTTTATTCCATTAAATATATCAAAAAGACATAGCATATGCGAATTGATTGTTTAACTATCATCATGTATACTTTTGAGGCTGTTGATATCGGCTTTTTCCATTTGGAGTCTATAAATTAAAGTAATGCAGGTGACGAAGCTGTTGCTGGATCTCTGCAATACGCTCCCCATTGGCACATTTCTTTACCTTACATGAATGAACGATAATCAAAAAGCCAAGAAAAACATCATGTATTGAAAAATGTTCTTTTTAAAGAAAGACAAAGAAGCCTAGAGTTGGTTGACTTTAAATTAGTATTTTGACTGCGCAATTTGTAAGGAAAAAAATTGCAAATACTTAGGCAGAGCTTATTATTTTCTCCACATTAGAAATCTTTGATCGCCCAACATTTTATGATCCATCGTTATCCATCCAAGTTTTTTTTTACTTTAATTTTTATCTTAAAAGATCAAGATTTTACAGTTGCCAAATTAGCACTCGGCCATCGAATATATACTTCATTATAAAGTCCCAATGTAAAATGTTGGATCTCATCGCCCAACTTTACTCTGGAACAGGGTACTTCATTATAAAGTCCAAAAGTAAAATTTTGGATCTCATCGCCCAACAATATCTGATGTTTTGTTGGGTGATCCAGAATTTCTCATTTGTCGCCCAGTCATGAAATGCGGACAGTAGTTGTGACGTAGCATGCAAATATATTAAAAATGTCTTACCHTCTTCACTTACAGCACCAATTAGGTTTACAAGGTTTGGGTGGTGTCCTATATCAGCCATTAACTTCAGTTCTTTGAATAGATCACGAAACGCTTCTTCGTTCCTAGGATCTAAATTTGCATCAAAAGATGAACGTCATTACCATGAGAATAAGGACAAAGGCAAGGATGGGATTGCTTTAGGTTATTTCGAAGAGATATCGTAACCCTTTGTTACAACCATTCCTCGACATTGAGCAAGGTTAGTTCAAGCCACTTCAGCACTAGCATTTCTCTGTTGTTCCGTTGTTTGCTTGTTATTTGTTGTTATTGCTTTTTTTGTACATGAGCTTTTTAACCTGAAAAAGCGCGTGTTATTTCATTTCATATCATCATGGTTTGTAGAGGGAAATGGTTAGGAAGCCTATTGTAGTTTTGGTGTACTTTTTTTCAAGCGTGACAGTGCACAATCTTTTGTTGAACAATTGCCTTAGGCATACTGGTCACCCTGAATGAACAAACCGAAAATTATATAAAAAATGTTTAACCAATATTGAAATATTCTTACATAGAGTGTTTATGGTCACTCATTTTGCAATTTCCATCGTCCGTAAGCAAAAAGGTGTTCACGGTCTTGAATGATTCAACTTCAAAATACATACAAAAGAAGTACAAAAGAAATACAACAGAAAATTTCCAAACCATTCCCTTCTATTAATTACGTATGATATCATATGTCACCTCTTAAAGTCTTGACAGCGCATTCCCTTGGTGTTCCACCGTCTAGCAGTTGACCCATGTAAACAGCTCCAAATTCACCTTCTCCAAGCTTATTAGAAAGTACCAAATCTTCTTTTGGAAATGATTTCCATTGGTGAGAATCATAGCTTATGTTTGTGCATGACTTCAAGTCTCTGCCAATATCCTCCATATAGAGCTAATAGATTTGGTGCAAATCACATATCATTCAAAATATCAAGAAAAACAATCTTAATGTAAATAGAGTTGTTTTCTAAATAACATTTACCGAGCCCRCTTTAATACTTTCGGCGTTTCTCATTGGGAACATTTCCTCGTGTTGTCTTCGCCGGTTTTCTTGTCTAATTCGTCGGYAACAAATAATAACCAAAGCTACAATGATGATGATGAATA